TCAGGTTGTCTTCACCTGACTTCATCTACTATGCTACCTATTGTAATTTCTTCTTCTGTTCCTGCTTTTAAATGTTAAAGCTCCCAGCTTTTTAACTTCCAGCTAACTTACTTTCAAATATTTGCTGTTGCATGTCATGAGATTACAAAATGCTATCACAAAGCCCAGATGAATGTGGTATTTGTACACAAAGTCAGAACAAGTAACAAAAATTAATGATAGTAAGTCTAACTTAAGTTTTCAGGCTCCTTGTGAAAATAAAATAATCCCTACAGGTTTTATTTAGAATCTACTAAATATTGACACTTGCCTTTTGATCTGAGCTGTGATACAACAGTTGTGTCACAGCTACCCAGTTATAAAAGTTAAAAATTTTGATTCAAGATTGTTGAGAGGGAAGCTGTGTTTTCTTTCAGATTTAGGTTAGACAAATAAGCTAAAGAGAGAGAAGAGTCATAACTTCTCCCTCTGCATTAGCATCTGTCCCAAATATAACTTTCATAGCTAACCACAGGGGGAAATTACATTTTTTCTTTTCTAACATCATCTTTTTTTCTCTTTTGTGTTTTAGAACTAGCACCCTTTCCCAGATAAAAGGTGGCTAATGGCACTATTACTATTTTTTATGCTTTTATTTTTTTCCTGAAGTCCCATTTTGAATGACACTGTTTTCAGGTTCCTTTAGTCGGGTAATTGCACATAGACTTCATATAAAGGAAATTCATTTGTTCAGGGTCACTGCATGGTTTTTCATTAAAAACAAATTACCGGTGTTCAGAAAGGACATCTGGGTTTCGAGAGTCCCATTAATGACTATATTTTCAGCATCTCTATTCCGGACAGTCTACCCTTTCCTGTCACCCTGTGCACAGAGCCCCAAGAGGACAATGTGAATGACAGTCCAAGGAAAGAAAAACATAAGAGATGAGCTGAGAACTCCTCCCCAGAGAAGAGCAGAAGGGAAAAGTGTGGAAAAAAAAAATAAGCCCAAAAAGCAGAGAATAAGAAGGGCTGTCGTCTGAGCACTTCTAATACAACAACTGGAATAAATAAACAGACAAGAATGAATATATAAGCATAATCTTCTCCTAATTAATTTATAGTAATAGAAGCTTCTTGGTGTGGAAACCCAACCCCCAAAACCTTGAGTGGTTTTCTCAAGCAGGAACATACTGTATTTCCTAGTCAACCTGTTCCCTTACACACTCTCTTTTGGGATTGTGGACAGCAGTGTGACTACTGCCTACTCTGAACCATCAAGGAAGTGGGAATGGGTCAGGAGTGCACACAAGGCACAGAAACTACGTATCAGGTGGGTTGAGGAAGAGAAGACTGGAGCAAGACTGTCCTCATTGCTTACTGTGTCTTGGTCACATCCCCCTCATAGGGAAGTACCATGTCTAACCTACAGGCATAGAAAGATGTTCTTTTAAGAGAATTGCTGCAGGTGAACCCTGCCAGCTTCACCTGTTTATCTCATAAAATAAGAGGCAGGACTTTGTGAGTAAAAAGACCAAGCACAAGCATGGGCAAGAGCCCTTTCCAGGGCAAAATCAGCTTAGAGTGGCTGATCTTGTCCTTTCATACAACACATGCTAGATGGAAGCTATAGATCTTTCTGGTTTGAAAGTGATGTGCTTTTTCATTTGTTTCCTCAGAGAAAAATGATTATTTAATCATCTGGGCCAGCACAGATCTTTATGAGCCACACGTCCTATATGATGTTTTAAGGCTTAGGTTTTGTAAAGAAGAACGGGAGGAAACATAATAGCATGCACAATGATTTTTCTGACAGGCATAGAGGTGTAGTGAGATCATGTTCCTCTGCATCCATACTCTTGTTGGAGAAATAAAAAGGACTATAGAGCTGGTGGAAGCAGGGAATAAGCCTTTCCTGCTCAGACAGAAGATCATGGAAGCTGAAGAAGGACAGAGAAAGAAGCAAAATCCACATGGCTCCCATTGGAAACTCCCAAATGGCATAAAGGTTTTCCTTTTCCTGCATGCACACATTCTTTACAAATATCAACGATGCTACAGGATCTTGGCTATTTACAGTAGCATAAACAATGTCAGGAGAAATAAGCATGCAACAAAATATCATGTATGTCTTATCATGCATACATTTCTTCCATGTCTCCGAGCACATAACTCTTAGAATTACTTAATTACAAACTAATTCATAGCTAACAATTACATATCTTATCAAGAATGCACATTTTTAGAAAAGGCTCTGAAAAGTGACAAGAAAAGGTTGTGAGGTGAATCCCTGAAAACTGGTAAAATAAATATTCTTCCTGCATATATTTTAGAGCACAGCATTTTGTCATTTTAGAATACAAACGTAAATGTGCCTCTAGCACCAGACTTTATCAGTGAACTACTTGTGAGCTAATATATAAGGAGGCAGTGTCATTTTCCCAGCATGCCTCTGAAACTAACTGGTCCTGAAAATGTCAAGAAGTGAGTAAGGATTGAGAAGTTATTTTGGATGCTAGTTAGCAAATTCTTACTTAAATGAGAAGGACAACCTAAAGGAATTGCAGATGACCTTCACAGTAGCTGGAGCAGAAGGTTGCTATTAAAGGAACTAGTGAGGGGAGCAGTGCAGTTATTCAATATAATGGGTCACACAAGTCAATGTGTAGTTAAAAATAAAATCTATTACCCAGGAAAATCAACTCAATTGAGCCTATATCACTGAATCCTCACTGTATTTCCTCTTATTGGGCTATGTCAAGCCCTGTCTTTTTACATTTCTGACATGTCGCTCAGGTATTCCTGGACACTTCATGACTGCTAATATGTTTATTCTCCTGCATCCCCAGAAAGAATAAACTGCAAGTGTCCCCCTTAGCTGGTGAGGAGTTGGGGATCACAGTTGAATTTTCAGTGAAAGTCACTCTCAAAGAAGTTGAAATTGCGACAGAATTTTTTTAAAGCCTCTAAACAGATATCTTCACAAGGGATTACGTATGAAACTTCCTCAAGCTTTTGCAAAACTTCAAAGTATAAGTGACATGGCTCAGACACCAGGGAAATCTGACCTTTCTTTGTGCCTCTCTGGCAAAAAGTTATGGTGCCTCAGCTGCATCCTCATTTATCCTCAGTTGGTATTTCACCAGAGAATTGAGCTTCAGACAAGAAGGCACACAGTCATCGGAATCGTAGTTTCCATGATTGGGCCTGGTGATGTACATTACATCACCAACATGCAGTTGGAGTCTGCATAAGGTTCATACCAAAGGAGAAGTATTTATCATGGCTCGACTTTTTCTTTTTTTCTTTTTTTTTTTTTAGTATCAGAATCCTTTCACCCTTCATAGTCAACCTAAAACTGATGTAACTGACATGTTTTGAGTGTAATCTTCTAGAGTGTAAATACAACTTGAAATCATGCTACAAACTGAATAGAAACACAAACCTCTAAACTAATTTAAGGCTCTGGCAACAGCATTGAAGGAAGACTAATCAACCTGAGGATTTGACCTGCAATAATCTACCAATAACTCCATATAGGTATGTGTCTGTGAGAAAGAATGTAAAACAACAGTCAAACCTTGAATCCTTCTCAAACAAGCTTTGCTTTCAGGTGTTCACATTTACTCTACTTCATATAACTTGCATCTAGAACCCTTACAGCAATGCTCTTCCAGATAATGTTTTCTGTTAATAAAATTTAATTTCCACATTGCCTAAGACCTGATTTAGTTTTTAGTTAAAAACTATGTCTAGTTTTTAATTGTAGTACACACTTTAAATGATTTTATTTCTTAGTTCCTGATCAATCTAATGGAACACAATTTAGAGAACATAATACTGATAGCGAAGACCCTGAAAGAAATCAGTATGATCAATTCCTACTTTCTTAATGTTTTTCCTCAATCTTCTCCTCCCAGAGAAATATAATTAAATACAAAATTTTCCTTTATTTTAAGTAACTTTCTAATCTTGCCCAATCCAAGAAGTCTGGTTCAAAAATCCTTAAGTATCAGAAAAAAAATGGGAGAAAGAAAGTTCCTCACATTATGATTACTTTCAAATCACATGATACTAGAGGCTCAGTTCATGATTGTTGTAGAGTCTCAGAATATTTCCCCTAGAAAAGATGTGTGTCTGTCAGGTTACTATCAAAGGTCACAGGTTAGTGATATACCCCCACAGTTCTTTCAAACTAAAGGAAGTGTGGTGATCTCTGAGAGGATCTGACATCCAGTGCCACGTGTAAATAAAACTCACTCCTCCCACCAATGCATATCCTTATCCTTTAGTTACTCTCTGCCAGCATCATGATATCATCTCAATGGACTCATCATGGTCTGATCATGGACCCCACACAGGTCCATAGCTCATCGTAACTGCGCAGATTATATGATGTTCATACACACCTCATTCTGCCTACATAAAAACCCAGGGCCCCTCATCTCTGGCTAGCAGCACTTTGAAGCATTTCCCATCCCTCAGCCTTTGCTATCTCACTTGCAATCTCAATCTCAATGCAAGCTTCCAAAGAGAGAAGGAAATAATAAAAATAGGTAAATAAACAAGAAAATTCTTTCAGGAGTCATCTAGTTTGCTGCAACTCTGCTCTGAGACATTTAAAGTTAGGCCATACCTAACCACCAATTGCCAATGAAAAATTAGCACTGTGAGAAACAAAACATTCGGAGAGAAGAGGCTGGTTATCACAATGTCTATGTTAAAAGGGAAAAATTAGGCACAATCCAGATCAAAGCATCTCCAGGGTTCATACAAGGAAGGCTGGAGGCTTTTGCAGCATCCCAGAGCAAATAACTTGCATTGGTAGTCAGAAGGCTAGATTATTTTAGTGCTGGAGAGTCCAGTCTTTCTTTACTTAAGACTGCTTTACACTTCCTCTTCTCCTTCCATCCCGGTAATATTTCTGTCTTGTACTAGAATCAATGCAGAAGATTTATAAAGTGCTAAGTTTTCTTTCTGAAATGCTTCTTTCCCTGCACTCCCCTCTTCTGAAGACTCACCAGGCACCATTCCTGTCAGTGTCGGAGTGGAGTAGCTGCCCTGTCCAGCAGGGGGGACATGAGGAGGGTATCCCGGGAGGGTTGTGCTTGCCAGTTCGCGACCTGAGGAATCAAACCAACAAATCACTCTGTGAATGCACACATATAAACATGGTTTTACATCTCCCCAAAGATGATCTCAACACAACCATGCATTTGTCATACCTGCACTGTGAATACCAAAGTCGATTTTTTAGCTTGGCAGGGAAAAGAGAAACATTTTTGTGGGATTTTTTTGGTATATGTGTGTATTCTGGTTTGTTTTTGCCATTTTCTATAAGCTGCCACAAAGCTCTGACAAAGTGGGAGGTGGAAAGGGGAAGAACAGATCTCTGCAAACAGAATAAAACACAGCAGTTTGAACTCTGGCTGCTCCCTCCCTATTCCCAAGTTTCTCTGATGCTCAATCTTGTTAAAGTCAGAAGCAGAAAAATGGAAAATGATGGTGACTTTAATGGCATTCTCCTAGAAACCTCTGTAGAAAATCACCTCTCCAGCACACAGAATGATGCTTTGCAAAAGGTCTTCTGAATTAAGTGATAAAGAGAGTTAACACAGAGTTAAATCAGGATTTAGAACATTTTTTTACTTAGACCTCAAAAAAAAGGTAATTTTATTTAAGGCAAAAAATAGACTTTCTTTTTCCCTCCATGAAACTTAAGCATTTATTAGCTAGCTTTCCTGTTAACCAGAGCTTCTGATTTTCTCACCATCCAGATTTGGACAGACTTTTTTCAGCTTTCTTTTGGAGTATATTCTCCAATTCAGTCTCCACAGTTCTTTCACAAAAATAAGCCTGCAGAAAGCAGGAATTGGGATATCTCTACGTCTCACTCTGATTTGTAATCTGGATATGATCAGGTATGCACCTTGACCAGAGAACTGAGAAGCCTTCCCAAGGCCCCTCTCTTCAGACATACGCTTTTCAACTGACTGGGACACATAGCTGCCTGCTGAACAATGTCAAGAGCTACAAATAAAATAGCTTACAAAATGCATTACTGATCAACAGAGCATACCTCCCACAGTTCAGCCCTGTAGGATTACCCTTTTCCCAGCCCATACTAGCTGAATTTCTGGAAAACTACTATTTGTTGTGGTATGTAACTTCATGCTTTACTTACTCAAGAAGCCTAACAGAGAAAATAGATTCATCTGCGGTTCCAACTGAATTTCAAAATTCACGTATGGTTATGTCTAGTGAGACTAAGGGCCTTTAGTTGGACCTACTCACTGCTCTCCTGTAGCAGTGCATCTCATATGTTTTGTTTATGTCACCACCTTGCAATTAGAAAATCCAAACATCCATCTTGGTAAAAAGCAATATTCCTGGTTGTGTAAGCCAGTCTGGTAAGGAGCAGCTGCAAGGAGCTAGGCTGAGCCTGCTTTCTACCTTCGTATTTTCACATTTCTATCCGAAAGGATGACATTTTTGCTGCTGCTGTATCTCTTCTGTCCATGAGCTGTAAACATGACCTCATAGAGTACTTAGCACCACTGAGGTTAAATAAGAAAATCCAGGCGACAAGGACTGATTCCTGGACTGAAAATCCACCAGACAAGGAATTCACCCATCATCAGCCTGACAAGTTAAGAAAGAAACAAGGATAGAGTGCACAAAAGACCTTGCAACGCCTATATTATTTAGAATCAGGACCAGTCCCTTAGAGTTAGGCAAATCACTCCGAGTGAAAGATTCTTCATCAAAACTAGGGTGTTTCAGATCAACCAGAAAGAGTGTAATATTTGTTGATTTTAGGGCACTGACAAAAAAGGAATCTACACATTCGGATATTCAAATATTTTGCTTAGAAACATAATTTTAAAGTTTTCTTATGTTTGAAGAACTTCAAGGGGTTGAAACTTCAAGGTTGAAATTAAGTATTTTCACATGAGCCAAAATTTTTTTTTCATTTCGTGGTTGCAGAAACTAAATTATGGTTTCATTTTTAATCGATGAAGAATGAAATTTTAAATTCTACTTTCATTATCATCAAAGAAATTAAACATCATTTGATGAAACACTGTAAAAAGAGTCAGTGCAAATTGTTTTTCACCACTCCTGGGTCATCACCAGAAATGCCACTTTCACTCACAATTCCCTTCCCATCTTTTTATGTAGAGTTTCTTAGAATATGTTCAGCCTCCTTGCTCCCTGTACCATCTAATGAGGATGCTTAATGTACTTGTCCATCCATCTATACAGAATATTTGTTGTGCATCTTCGTCCTGAAGCTCAAAAGAGCTGATTAATTTTCACTGCATTTTTAAAAGGAAGCAAAATCCCTGTCTCGAAAGACACCATGAAATCTAATTATTAATTCAATCAGAAAATGGCTTTTTAAGTTAAGGTGTTTTCCCCACCATCACAGCCCCACACTGTCTTGCACAGAAAATTAAAATCTGTTTATGTCATCTCTGTCTGGAGAATGCAGAAGTGCTGCTAACTACCTGAGCCTGGCCATAGGAAACAAAATTCACCGCTACCATTCACAGAGAGTAAATATCACTTGACTAAGATGTGTATCTGACACAGAAATATATCTTACAGCTTGACATTTGCTTTGATGCCTCTATCTGCAACAAAAACAATGGTGAGGATTTCTACAGATAATGTGTTATCACAGTAATGATAATAAAGTATGCCACGCAGATATACTTAGCATTTTGGAGGCCCTCAGCAAGGTTAGGTATTAAATCAGTCCACCAGTCTGAAATGACCTTTCCACCAGGCAGGTGTTGTTAGTAACCACCTGCCATGGTGCTAATTTGTTGACTGACTATCTCTTTCGAAGGTTTAAGTGATACAAAGATAAGATAGAGATACTGCAGTCATTTCATATGTGTAAAATGGCAAGTACTTTGCTGTATAGGAGAAGTTCTTGCAGTTGCAACCAAAGAAAGGTAGCTCAAAATGAAGTAATGCACAACAAGGTACAATGTGACATCCTCACAGTACCAGACAACATATATACCTCACTTAAACATACTTGTCCCCAAGAATCTGAGGACAATGTAAAGTTGAGGGGGAATTATCTTTCATGGGACAGGAAGAGCAGCAAAACCTGGAATGATGCAGTATAATTCATCCTCTCTCAGTATCAATTCCCTGTTTAATTCTCAGTTTTCACTTCTGCAACTGGACAGTGAAAACAAATTTGTGTTCCTGCTAAAAACCCCATCTATAATAAGAATGTGATTTGAAACCATCAGTGTGCTGAATTATTAAAAAAAAAAATAAAATAAAAAAGAATAAAACCTTGCCTTTCCAGGGCTCAAAAAAAAAAAAAAAAAAAAAAAAAAAAAAAAAGGAGCTGGTCTCATATCTTCTTTATCTCATATTTATGTGCCTTAAAAAGCCTGTTTTATTTTTTATTTTCAGCACAAAGCATTCTAAGAATAACATTCACTAGTAACATTCACCAGGGAAGAGCAGGGAAAGCAGCCACACAGTTGTTGCCTGGATTTTTCTCTATCACTATGCCTTTAACAAGTTGAGACTTGTCATGAATATGTCTATATCTTCCCCTCCGATGGTCAAAGGATGAAGTGTTAGTGCTAAAATGGACTGTGTGTACAGAAAAAAAATGGTGTGTGGCAGGAACTGCGCATTGTGATTTTTATGATGAGGGTAGAGGTCTCCATCCTGTCCATGACAAATTAGGTATGAGAAGGTTCACACATATCTCTTCTGCCTACTGTCCTTTCCATGTATTGCTGCCTTCAGGTCCACAGCCGATCCCAGAAGGGAAATAGTCCTTGTTCTCTCCTCCTTTTACATCTTACCATCACTGAATGTCAGAATGACGCATCTCCAAATGGTGCTTCAGCCTGCAGCAGCACATCTTGAGCAACTCAATTTCCCTTCCTGTTTGGTCTTGTACCAGTCACCCCCCAGTGCTCATTTTCCTATTAAGAAAAAGATGACCTACATTGTGCTGCAATATACTTTGCTTCTTCCAAAGGCCCTGTCACATCCAACATGATTTGGGTCATTATTAAAGATGTTGAACAATGTAGATGCCTTTGGAGATGCCAAAAGCAGCTTTTCATGTCCTCCAGGGCAAAGTCACAAATAGTCCAAAAAATTCTATGCACTGTCAGCTACATAAAAATGCATCCAGAAGAGTCATGACAGCCAGACTTTGAGCATAGGCTGGGAAGTGCTCAAGAAAACTGGCAGGATTTTTCCAGATAGAATTGGCAAAAGACAGATTTGCAATCCTCTTTTGTTTTCTGAATGCCAGTTACTCTGCTTCCCAAAAAACAAGGAATGGAGCATCCTTATGCTTCATGGGATTTTTTCTAACTGCTGGCAAGCTCCAATTGCACTGAAATAATTGACTTAGCAAAAGTGTTAATAATCCTAGCACAAAGAGATGATAAAAACAACACTTGCTGTAGTGTGTTCATACTGTACATAAACAAATCAGTCAAGAAAGATAATAATACCTTTATTTTATCAGTGCACAGAAACCTGTCAGTCATATTATACTTATTGCCAATTTCCTAAATATCTTTTGTCTGAGGTTTTTAAAAATACATTAGATTAAACCTTTAAAACCATTGAGATGGTTAAATTTGAGGCAATTGTAAGGATGAATAAAGGCGCTTTATTCCTTCCTTACTATTCCTCCCTTGCAATGCCTGGAGGAGAATCAGAGACTGATTGTGCTGCTCTGGAGAGAGAAGAGCTATTCCATAAGCTTCAGCCCTCCGAAAAACTCAAACCTATGAGAGGGAACCGTTGTTTCCAACAAGATTTTGTTCCAAATCCTCTGAGGTCACTCTCTGAAACTTTCAGGTACCCAAATACCTCAGGAAGTGGCCTCCCTACATAAAGAAAGGGAAGCCTAGCAGAACTTGTGGCTTTGGTGGTATCTGCTACCCTGCATTCCAGTAGGCTAGCAGGCTGGCATGCTAGGAGCCAGGATATGCCTCTTATCCATGTGCTGTCACTACTCTACATAGCACAATTAAAAATTTATCTTAAAGGAAACAATAATTTTAATGTGATCTGCATTCTGTAATTTCATAGCAGATTAATGAGGGGAAAAAATGTC